AGGTTAGATTTGCTTTTTTCAAAATAGAATTTTTTTTTCAAGTTAAAAGGAAAGATTTAAAATAATTACTCAGATGTATTTACTTTGATTTCCTTCTCTTAAAACTTGCATTTTCTTCTTATCTTTTCATTTTCTGAGAATAATTTTGTGATCTTTCTTCCTTAAATAAAATAGTAGAATTTAGAATATGCTACATAAAATCTCAATACAAAGAAGTGTTAATTGGAATATGCTTATGATACAGAAGAATGGTTACTTATGTAATTATCAATTAAAAAAAATAAATAAATAAAAATAGCAAATATTTACAAATCATGATTTTATTTTAAATATTTAAAAATGTATCGGCTAATTAAAGTAAAGTAAAAGATAACAATGTTACTGTTGTATTTGTGTTAGCTTTATTTTTAGAAGAAATATGTTCAGTGAAATTAAACAAGAATTATTGTAGAAATCCAGACTGAGATTGGCTGGACATATATAAAAAAGGATGGAAAAAAAAACTTAAATTTACACAATTAAGATTACTGGAAATAGAACAAGTTGATAGACAATTATAATTTACACCTTAAAGTCCAGCAATATAAGTTTTTATTAATTAAACAAATATGTTTTCAATCTAATATGAGGTACAAATCAAGTAGGATGACGCTAAAATTAAACCCACCAATGATCTTAATTCTTTTAAATGCTTGGAGGTATTAGATAAATACAATCTAATAGATACAACTATGTTCACTACCATGATGCAGACACTTTAGGAACTGCATGGAAGTCGCTTGATATCTAACTTGGTCAAATTTTAAATGTATAACTAAAAGTTATCAATTTAATATTTATTGGTGATTATTTTTACTTTTAGTTTTTTAAATTTTTTTACTTTGGATTAAAATTTTATATATTCTGTTTTGTATTTTAATTCATTTATTCATTTATTTTATTCAAATTTTACTTGTTCATTAAATGTTAGGTCTTCTTCAGTTGTCAAATACATATTGCATTAGATCAAAATGTTTTTGTTTATTAAGAACTTATATTGCTAGAGTTTCTTTAAGGTGTGAATTTATTTTAATTTTCTTGATATTTCCTCCAGTTTTACATTGAAACTGCTATTTTTATTTTTATTTTCTAGCCAGCACTAGACCTATTAGCTACAGTTTAAGTGTAAAAATGAATAATTTTAGCCTAAATTTACATGATGAAAGTGGAAGCATATATTTATATATATATGTTTATTGCATATGGGCACTACTGACTAAACTGAG